AATGACTATAGTGTTCGAGACTTAATTTATTTCTATTATTGGCTCGAGGCTTAATGACACGGTGTTTAATGGGACGCCAGAACCAAACAGCTATAGTTTTCGACGTTTAATTTAATTCTCTATTATTAGCTCGAGGCTTATGAAATGAAATGAAATATTGTTTAATGGCATGCCAGCAATAACCGGGCTATATTGTGCCAATCATATGTGATGTTTGAGGCTAACGTATCATATGTGATGTTCGAGACTTAACGTATCATATGTGATGTTCGAGACTTAACGTATATGCGATGTTTGATGCTAACGTATCATACGTGATGTTTGAGGCTAACGTATATATGTGATGTTCGAAGCTTAACATATCATATGTGATGTTTGAAGTTTAACGTATCATATGTGATGTTCGAGGCTTAACGTTTCATGCAATGTTCGAATCTTAACATTGCATATGTGGTGTTCGAGGCTCAATCTATTTTATTATTGACCCTACATTACCATATTGTTCTAATTATAACACCCCAGCATTTTATTCACGTCAAGTCCTGAAAATGAAATGGGGTTTAACGTCCTACTGTTCTGCTCGTATACTGAGCTAACTCAATATCATCCAAAATCTTCCACATTAAAAACATGAATTTTTTGCAATTTAAATCAACATTGGTGTTGTGATCTTACCTGGAAAAGATGGGCTTCTGATATCCAATATTTAAGACAAAATAAACATTTTACCATTGGTACACGAATCGTGTACCATAATGCGTAATAGCGCCATTTGTAACAAGGTGCTCAAAAAATGAGGCTAGACATATTCCACAAGTCATGTCAAACGGTGATATCATGTTCTTATTTGGAGAGCATGCGCAATAAATAATATCGGTGTTGACTGGAATAACCAGACGCTAGAAACATTTTACAATTGGTACACGAATCGTGTACCATAATGCGTTTCAGCGCCATTTGTAACAAGGTGCTCAAAAAATGAGGCTAAACATTTGACTGGGATAACCAGACGCTAGAAACTGACTTGCGGTTGAGACTTCTGGCGTATTTCGCCGAACATAACTGATGACAATTCACAGTAAAACGGACACGATTGAATGCAAAACAGTTTATATCAATTCATATTACATTATTATATGTGTTTCGACCCATTTGTGCCAATTTCTAGGTCCAAAATATTAGCGATTTACCTCCTTTAAATCTTGGATAAATCAGATCATGCCTGGAAAAAATAGAAATAATTCATTGGTAAAGTTCAAGTAGTCTACTTTAATACGAAACTAATCTTTGTGTAATCTATTTCATGTATTCACAAACACAGGTCTATAGCTAGGCTTGTATATAAATATAGATTTATATAGGGCTATATATCTATAATGATTTCAATTAACAGGCGCCGCTGTCCGGGCAAAATGTCCCTCATAGTACACTATATGACAAGGAAGGCTGTCTAATCGTTCAGATGGGACGAAAAACCGAGGTCCCGTGTACACATTGGCGTGCCGCTGTCCGGGTCAAATTTCCCCTCATTGGACACTGTATGGTATATGCCCGTTTTCATTAGCCCAGTTCGGAGCAGAACAGTAGGACGTTAAACCCCATTTCATTTCATTTCTCATTATCACAGTCGGGGAAGAACAGTAGGACGCTAAACCCAATTTCGGGGAGTGAGAAACTAGGACATTTCGGGACTAGCATATGGTTCGATTTTATTTTAATAATTCACTTACGCGTAGGGGTCTTCAGCAGTGTGAGAAAACCAGAGGACCTGGAGAAAACCCACGAGGTTGGACAGGCGACCCTACACCTTATCACGAATCGAAACCATGCTATTTGACTCAATGACGGACCTTATCATCTAAAGAGCACGTGTTAACCCCCGTTCCTTTTTGTAATCCGATTATATTCAACGAGTTCGTGCGCCTTCCCTAAAATTTAATATTATATCTAAATAATTCACCCATTCTTCAATTTCAATCACAAAAAAAACTAGTGGTCCAATAAACGCTTAATTCCCCTATTGTTATCGGCAAGCTATTGATTCAATACACTGATTTAAAACACAATATTTTAGACCAACTGAAAGAAATGACATGAAAAAGGATTGAAAACCATAATTTTACCCAGTAATACTGGTGTTCTAGAGCAGTGGTTCTCAACCTTTTTTATCCAATGGCACACCTTGGAACACATGAAAAAAATAGCTGCATACCTGGCTAAATAGATATGAAAAATATATGAATTTTGCAAAATAAAAACATGGCAAGTCAGAGACGGCACATCATAGACGGCATACAATCGTAGACACAGACTAGTCATAGACACATAGAATAACACAAACTAAAAGAAGAAATAATCAATTGGGAACACGTGGTTTTCGCATTTTCGTGGCACACTTAGGAAATGAAATGAAATGAAATGGAGTTTAACGTCCTACTGTTCTGCTCCTAACCTGGGCTAATGAAGACGGGCATACGCCATACAGTGTGCTATGAGGGAAATTTTGCCCGGACAGCGGCACTACGGCCTACTCTTATATCGAATTCCAACTGCCAAGGGATCTTTTACGTGCACGCCAATGTGTACACGGGACACGGTTTTTCGTCCCATCCGAACGACTAGACAGCTTTCCTTGTCAGCCCCTCCGTCCTGCATCACTGACAAGGGAGAACCACGCCGGAAAATCTGGATGTACTTTCTCGGCCAATGCAGGGATCGAACACCCGACCTCCAGGCTAGCGAGCTAGCGTCTTACCCACTTAGCCACGTGATCCCCGGCACACTTAGGAAGATCACGCGGTACACAGGTTGAGAATCAGTGTTCTAGAGAGAGTAAGTGGTATCAGGTGTTCTAGAAAGAGTTAGTTGCATCAGGTGTTCTAGGGGTAGTAAGTGATATCAGGTGTTTTAGAGAGTAAGTTGTATCAGGTGTTCTAGAGAGAGTAAGTGATATCAGGTGTTCTAGAGAGAGTAGGTGATATCAGATGTTTTAGAGAGGGTAAGTGATATCAGGTGTTCTATGAGAGTAAGTAACATCAGGTGTTCTAGAGAGAGTAAGTGGTATCAGGTGTTCTAGAGAGAGTTAGTTGTATCAGGTGTTCTAGAGATAGTAAGTGATATCAGGTCTTCTAAGAGTAAGTGGTATCAGGTGTTCTAGAGAGAGTAAGTGATATCAGATGTTCTAGAGAGAGTAAATGTATCAGGTGGTCTAGAGAGAGCAAGTGATATCAGGTGTTCTAGAAAGAGTAAGTGGTATCAGGTGCTCTAGAGAGAGTAAGTGATATCAGGTGTTCTAGAGAGAGTATGTGGTATCAAGTATTCTAGAGAGAGTAAGTGATATCAGGTGTTCTAGAAAGAGTAAGTGGTATCAGGTGTTCTAGAGAGAGTAAGTGATATCAGGTGTTCTAGAGAGAGTAAGTGGTATCAGGTGGTCTAGAGATAATAAGTGATATCAGGTGTTCTGGAGAGAGTAAGCGATATCAGGTGCTCTAGAGAGGGTGAGTAGCATCAGATGGTATAGAGAGAGTGGGTGGTATCAGGTGTTCGAGTAAGAGTAAGTGATATCAGGTGTTCTAGAGAGAATAAGTTGTATCAGGTGTGAATAGAGATAATAAGTGATATCAGATGTTCTAGAGACAGTAAGTGATATCAGGTGTTCTAGAGAGTAAGCGTCGATACACTGGTCTAAGAAAGAAAAACAAATCACCAATGAATGTAGAATAGCTGCTGATTGTTCGTTGTCATTGGATTATTTTTTTTATAATTTGTTGAAACGCTGTGAGTTAAATTTAGATTAGTGGGAAGTGTGTCTTTGAAGAATTGCTAACGCAGATGTTGTTTTATTTACAGTAATGAGAATATGGGCATTATGCCGGTGTTTTTTGTATTATCGCGTTAGTTGATCGTAAAAGCGATTATTTATAGTACTTGCACAACTAACTGTTGCAATTAGGTGTACTAGACATCTATACTCGTGTATATAGTTTTATATCACATAGGGTATTCTCATAAAGATCACCTGGGATTAGTATATATTAAGGGAGATTAAGGATTTCTATGTTAAAGGTGATAAATGTTTACCTGAAGGATAATTGGTTGATAAGGAAAGGTTTTATAATATTTGATATACCTGTCAGTAAATTGCTTGATAACACCTGTGTATATGTAACTGTCTACATAATGTAGTTATTTTTAGATCTAGATATAAAAGCCAAGATTACATATAATACTGTGGTTTACATTCCCATTCGAAACTTATACTTTGTATAATTTTACCTGTATTTTATGTCTCTCACATGTATCTTGTATTTTGCCTGCATTTTAACGGCATTTCACCTGTATCTTGTATTTAACCTGTATTTTTGTTGTCTTTCGTATGTATCTTGTATTTTACCTGTATTTTATGTCACTCGTGTGTATCTTGTATTTTACCTGTATTTTACCTGTATTTATCTTGTATCTTACCTATATTGTATGTCTCTCACCTGTATCTTCTATTTTATCTGTATTTTATGTCTCTCTCCTGTATCTAGTATTTTACCTGTATTTTACCTGTATTTGCCTGTATTTTATGTCTCTCACCTGTATCTTGCATCTTATCTGTATATTACCAGTATTTTATGTCTCTCACATGAATCTTGTATCTTACCTGTATTTACCTATATGTCTTGATTCTTTGTTATTTTTGACTACAGGGGCCTTATACACAAAAACTGAAACTTATAATTTTTATGGATACTGCATTTTCATTGGCTGATATTTTAAATCCTAGAACCTATTTTATTTATTAGCCAATGGAACGACTGCATTAGTGTACGTATACGTCAATAAGGCCACATTAACTTCTTTAGGACCAATGTTGCGATCAAATGTGTTAAATGCCATTTTTAACACCCGATTCACTGGGGGGTACGAAAACATTTTAAAAACTTGAAAATATATTTTTATTTATTGTTTATCTTCTTTTCTTTTGTCTTCCAGATTTCGGAAGTAGAATTTAAAAAGAAACCGTTTGAAATGGATGATATAAAGCTTCATATGACGAGATTTCTTAAAATTATTAGTGGAATGTGTAACTTGGACATGGTTTTGCCTTAATGTAAATCAAGATGGCGTCTAATACAACGACGCAGGTGATTTTATTGGATGACTCAACTCAGACCCTGAACATTATAACCGGATTATTGACGGTTCTCGGGATCATTGGAAATCTGTTATCCTTACTTCTCAAAGTCTGTCTCAAGTTTGTGATCCCACCAACCTGGAAAACCGCCATATTTTTAGGCGACGTCGCCAACGTGTTTCTAGGCATCGGCTTGTCTCTCTTTCTGTCTCATGCTAGTAATCAGTCGCTTGGTGTCTGCAATGCAGCGGGATTTTTTATGTTGTTCGCCATCTTGGATTGCTTGACGGCTGGACTATTGTCGGTTGTTATTTTACAATATATACAAAATCCTGTAAAAATTTCACATTTTTCGAACTACTCCAAAGGTTTAATGTTTATTTTAATCATCCCGCCAAAATTAATCGCGATCTGCATCGCATTTCTGCCTCACATTCCGGTGAATTATTTCAACACGTCATTCAGTTATTCCATCAGTTGTTTCCCTTTACGAGAAGCAGGCGTCACCGGTTCCGAATTCGGCGCCATCGTGTTTATTCTTCTGTGGATTATTTTAGCCGTGAGTGTTGGGCTGTGCATCTCCTGTGCTTTTAAATTATGGCGAAGCAGTCTGGGAAGAATCCACGCGTCTTCCCCAGATCTTTGGCAGACGCAACTCTTAGGCCAAGGAAAAACTTTCCAGAAGTTCCTGCTCCTCGAGCAAACAATCTGGGTTATCTCCCTTTTCTTGCTGACCCTGATCCTCTATACAAACACCACCCATCTCCTGGTTCCCCAGTGGATCGTGTTCGTGACCCTGAGTGTGGTGACGACTTTACACTGCATCTTCAGCCACCTCCAGACAGCATTATGGAGCACCTTATGCTGCTCCGCCAACAGAAAGAGTAAAGAGCCGTACCAGAGGTTGAAAAAACTACAATTGATTAGAGTAGAAGTAAGTACTTTTTTTTAAATTTTACTTTTACATCCTGGAGGAGAGAGAGAGAGAGAGAGAGAGAGAGAGAGAGAGAGAGAGATGGGGTTTAACGTCCACTCGACACAATCTAGGTCATTTCGGAACTAACACATGGTCCAAATTTATTTCAATAATTCGCTTGTGCGTAGGGGTGGGAGAAAACCGGAGTACCTGGTTGGACAGGCGACCCTACTCCATGTCACGTACAACCGGGAAATCGAAAACACGCCAGTTGACTCAATGTCAAACATTATGATACAGCGCGCACGTGCTAACCATTCGGCCATCCAACCCCCCACCCTGGAGTAGAAGTATACACCCCATCCCCCTTTTTGATACGGACCGCAGTTCACCAACGTTTAACGTGTGGTGTGGACGTTTCTGCTTCTGAGATTTTGACCACAGGTGTTACACATTGTGTCCCATTTGGTCACACTGGTGCTAACTAGTTAGGTTGCCAAATCCCGGGATTTGGGTGACCGAGTGGACTTTATTGAGTAAAGATTTTTTTACCTTTCTTCCACCCCTCCCCCTTTCACACACACACACTGCTAAAATTGAAATAAAATTAATTATACCACATGCATGTTAATCCTAAAATGACCTGGTTTGTGTCAAGGGGACACAATTTCTCTCTCTCTCTCTCTTCCCACCAGTCATTTTATCATTTCAATCCATCTTACCCCCTCCCCCTACCCACTGACAAAAACAACTTCAACCGACCGATCCCAGTTTTAATGCTCCAAGTAAACACAGATTAAGATTGTTTGCTTTTTTTGTGGCGCAGTGGGGGGGGTGGGTGGTAAGGACGGCATCTTGTCGTTTGGATGGGACGAACGACCGAGGTCCCGTGAACACGTGACCGTGCACGTAAAAGAACCATTGACAGTTAGTTGGAATTCAATACAAGAGTGGGCCGTGGTCGTAAAAGAACCTTGACAAGTAGTTGGAATTCGATATGAGTAGACCTTAGAGCCGCTATTTTATGGCATTTTACAGTATTTTACAGGTTGTTTTTTACAGTATTATACAGAAATGAAATGGGGTTTTTCGCCCCACTGTTCTGTTCCTCCTGGGCTAATGAAGACGTCTTCTACAGCAGGTCTACGGTCGACTCTACTGTCAAGGGTTCGTTTACATGCACGCCAATGTGTATACGGGATCTCGGTTTTCCGTCCCATCCGAACGACTATACGTTGTCCGTGGTCAATGACAAGTGGGAACCACGCCGAAAAATCCAGATGAACTTTCTCGACTAACGCTGGGATGAAACACATGATCTCGAAGGTTAGCGAACCAACGTCCTACGCAATGAACCACCGTGGCCTCTAGTATTTTATAGCATTTTTGTATTTCATAGCATTTTTGTATTTTATAGCATTTTTGTAATTTGTTCCAGGAAACTAGTAAACTAAGAATGAAAGCGTCTTGGTCTTTACATAAAGGGGTGAATAAAAGCGGTTTATTGAAAGTTTATGGTGTAAATCATATGAAGGCTTGGTCCCAGGAAATAGTTATATTAGGGATGTTAAGAAAGAGTCACCACCCCAGTATTCTTCATTGTTTGTGGACCAGCACCTCGAATCCTTTCTATGAAACAATGACTTTAATCAGTGGAGAAATAATAACAGCAGACTCCAGGTAAAATTATCTTCAACAACTTCTCAAATGTCCCCAATATACCAAACTACACCCACTATATGGCTGTTTTTTTTCTTTTGCTTTTTTTATAAATGTTCAGTTATCTTCACTAATCTCTCAAATGACTCCAAAAAGGTACCAAATTGGACCCTCTGGCGTAAAATTATCTTCACTAACTTCTCAAATAATTCCAATATACCAAACTGCATCCACTATATGAGTGTTTTGTTTTATAAATGTTCAGTTATCTTCACTAATCTCTCAAATGACTCCAAAAGGGTACCAAATTGGACCCTCTGGCGCGGAGACCCCATGAGTAAGGAAATGGCTCGATCCCGGTATTGGCCGAGAAAGTCCTCCTGGATTTACCAGTATGGTTTTCTCCCTTGTCAACGGCACATGAGAGAGTACCTGACAAGCAACAGTGTTTCGTCGTTCGGATGAGACAGAAAACGGGGGCGCGTGTAGATGTTGGCCTGGTTCCCACTCGCCGAGTACACATTCACGTACACCTGGTCCAGCCGTGTGCGTATTGTCGTACACCTGGTCCAACCGTGTACGTATTGTCGTACACCTGGTCCAACCGTGTACACATTCACGTACACCTGGTCCAACCGTGTACACATTCACGTACACCCGGTCCTACCGTGTGTACGTACAACTATCCCAACTATGTACACACTGACATACAGCCGCTCCAATCGTGAATACGATGGCGTAAGAAAACTTTCACATGCGGAATTCGATGAATTGTTCAGGCAAATATACGCCCACCTTTTAGCATTGCACACGCGACTATCAAAAAAACCCAACACATTTGGACGTCTCAAAATGACCAGAGTATTGTGTTGTCAAGATTTTGAATTTCATTCCTTCATTCATTGTTTCATCTTCAGATTAATCTGTATGGAATTAACCAACAGTGGAAGCCTACACAAGTTCCTGGCTGATTTAGATATACCTCTACCTGAGGCTTGCCAACAGACTATACTACATGATGTAGCAGAAGGTTTATCTTGTCTTCATGAACAGAACATCCTCCATAATAATCTCTCATCTTTCTCCATTTACCTTAAAGGTTCGATACAGGTGAGTACAGGGACAGTTATCTTAAAGGTTCGATTCAGGTGAGTGGGTGGGTGGGGGATTAAGGCAATGTCCTGTGTCACCAAGGCGATGTGAGTTTTGAACTGCCTCAGTAACGACGAGGCCCCTAATTTCATGTAAGTGTTAGCCCAGGAAGTTCTTCTAGTGTGTCCAGCCTGTTTTTCCCTCGTCATTTGTGAAAGGGATAGGGCTAGGAACAAATGATAAAATAAGTACAAAGGTGTTTTAAACATATAAGAATCATCGGCAAAATGCGTGTGTGCGTGTGCGTAGGGGTATAGTGGTTTAACGCGTGTGCATGACATCAAAAGGCCTGTCACCCAGCACGTGGCGTGGTTTCAATCCCCTCTCGTACGTGAGATGGAGTATGGTCGCCTGTCCAAACTTAAGGGTTTTGTCGGGGACCCCCAGTTTCCTCACACTGCGAGCAAGCGAATTATTAAAATATAATTGAACCATACTTTGTGTCAAATGAACGTTAACCCCCCCCCCCTCTCTCTCCCTCCTAATAAATGTCGAAAACTATCTTTACTCTTACATGTCTAATACGAATAATTAAAGTTGAAAATAAATAGATTATTTGTTTTATTTTTTCTTTCAGTGTTTGGTTTTACGTGCGTCATTGGGCGATTTCGAGCATGCTCAGATCTATGGATCTCTTCAATCTGGTGGATCAGCACCGAGCAGTATCAGCAAGAAACAATTCTTTTTACCCGATATCAGAGCTTTTGCATTGGTGGCTCTGGAAATCCTTGGGGTTGTATGCGAAAAGAAGCTGCAAGTCCAATCTACCCACCGTAAAGTAGAAACCCAAACATCGATGCTGCCAGAAAATGGTGCCTATTATAACTTTGAGAGACCAGATTCGCATCTGAGCTCCAGCATTCCAGAATCCTATCGACTGCCCAATCAGGCAGAAGCAATTGCCAATCAACAAAACCATTTGAACCAACAACGACCCAGCTCTAGAGGCAGCCAAGATCAAATTTTGCGGGTCAATCCTCCAATACCGACAAAATTATTCGTTGAAAAATATGTATCGGCATCTAATGTATCGAATGTAACAAGCCAAGACAATCATCCTGACAATCGAGGTACAGTTCAAAGTTTAGCAGTGCCTCAATTTCGTGTCAGCCGAGCTTTAACATCACCCGTTCATGTCAAAGATAACGAATCTACCGACACCAGACCGCTGAGTGCACGGAATCAATGTTCCGACAATGACAATTATCTACCTAGGGTTTCTTATCCCACGAAGCCGGCATCTGGTCTTCAGTATTCTTCATCACCATTTTACAGTAACCGTCCTAAAGAACATGAATATGAAGAGATAGATGAAATCGCCGAATGTATCGAATCGGATTATTATAGGAAACATATGTATCCACCCAAGCAATCTTCCATCATTCCCATTTATGAACCCTTCGAAATTTCAAAATCATCGACTGACCATTACCAACCAAATGCTACAAATTCTGCCGGAGGGAATAATTCAAAAGATGGAGGTCGCGGGAATATCTTCAATGTGGCACCGCCATCTCATGTACAAAAGAAAAGGGGTCATTTAGATACACGAAAGTATACTCCAAATAATCAGCCGGTTTCCGAATCTCTACCTGGGATGGTCGACCATGATTCCGTTAAAAATACCCCAACTCTGAACGATTTGGTGAAAGCAAAGGAAGCAGCAAAGATCGAAGGTCATCTTGAAAGCTATCAAGAGCGAATTATAAACAGGGAACTTCAAGAACAGATGCGCCGTCCAAATACCGCTCCACAGAACCATGCGCGTCCTGTGTGTAAGGACTATACTGGGCAGCGACCACCTTGGCTACAGAAACAAGATGATTTGAATCATAATAAACCATATCCCGCGGAGCAAAATATTAGCGGTGCTGTTCCACATTCTTCAGCACGTGTCCATCAACCGAGGTTTGAACAAGTTCAGAAATTGGCGACATCTAGACCCCAAACTGCCAAGACCTTAAATCAAACTCAGTATATTCCTGAATTTGCTTCACCTCAAATTCGTCCACACACGGTCGAAATTTCGTGCGAATATCAAAATCCAACAATACGTGTTCAATCTGCTAAATCAGTGAAAGGAAGAACTGCGCTGAAAAAGGCTATCCATAAGAATGGACCTAAATCGTCAGTGCCGAACGTTGAAAGGGGGAAACTGAATGCTGATTTAGAAAAGAAATATTCGAATTTTAAGCAAATAGGGACAATACAAGATACATTTAGGAAATTAACTCAACCACAGAACGACAAGGTTCCACAAACCCCTGATCAAACGAAAGGAGAAAGTTTCTCAATAAACCATCATGGAATAGAGGCTGGTAGTGCTCAGCCAGCTGGGGATGAAGCAAATTCCAAATTAGAAAATCTTCCGAATGATAAGCAATATGACTCCAAGGACTCAAAAGGAGGGGCTATTCCCAGACAGAAACCAATAGTTCCTCCAAAACCAGCAATAATTAAAAACAAAAGTGCTAATGGGAGTGATTATTCTAGTTTTAGTAGCAATGATAGTTTTAATAGCAGCATTTATAAACAATCCTCCAAAACCAGCGGTGCATCTCTGAATAGTGGTGAAGTGTCTTCGCTTTCATCTCAAGCCGGGCTGAATTCCGAACAGCTAGAAAAGCATGGTTACTCCACAGACACTCCCGTGGAAGACGTTCAACAATCCGATATTGTTGCTAAATTTGTGGATAGTGGTTTTGATAGTGCTTCTGTAAATAGTGAAGTATCAGTCGTGGAAGGATATTCGTGTTCGTGTCCCGACGCACATGTAGACAAATCGACATGTTTGTGTCAGTATTCAAGTTCGGGTAAAATGGACACTGATACTAAAACTTCTTGGAGTAATACGGAATCTGTTTCCTCTTCTTATGATTCCAATCAAACCCTTACATCTCCGGCCATTGCTTGTCCTGACGTTGTTCCACGAAAACGGACCCCATCTTCTAGTCCAGATATATTAGGTCCAGACGAACAATATCCTCTGGGTGAATCAGTTTCTCAATCGAAAAATCAACTAAAAGATCAGCCCCGGGCCCAAAAACAAAAAGACAACAAGATCTTTTCCAAGATGCATACGACGATGCTTGATGAAAAGAAAGAACTAAAGCAAGGCGTGGCAACCAAACGGTACCAAGAGTTGGCAAAGCGAGGGGTTCCTTTAAGGGTATCGGTCGTGTCCGCAAAACAACCGAGTGATGGGTCGGATACTCTTACTGACTGGAGTGAATTCGATTCCAATTATGAAGCTGAAATAATTGAAGAAGACCCCGAAGAGGAGGAGATTCTTTCAGATTCTGATGCTCGGGAGTTCCTTGAAAGTTTGGATTCGTCATCGTCTAGAAGTAGTGTAAAGAGACCGTCCCAAGCGGGGTCTTTTAGGTCTGGGCGAGTGATACACGAGGTTATTAGAGAAGTTCCAGAAGAATCAACGTCTTCCACTTGTGAAGATGAGTCAAAGTTTCTGTTAGCTAACAATGACAAGACATTGATCCAAGGTTTCGCGATATCTTCTAGCAGTGCATCAGGTAGGCTTGGTTATGTTGTGATGAATTGAAATCTTGTTTTACGTTCTACGTTTCTGAACCAACCTACTAGCTAATAAGATCGATATACACCATGCAGTGTGTAAACTTAGGAATTCTGCCAGGACAGGACGCTACAGACAACACTTAATTCTATTTCTTACTGTAAGGGGCTCAATGCGTACACGTACCAACAGTCCTTCATCCTTTCCGAACGGTTAGGCGCAATTCTGTGCCAGGACCTTCATCGTACATCACTGGCACTGACAAGAGGGAACCAGATTTTTTCTACCAGCATCAGGACCGAACTCGGGATGTCTTGACACATGCAGGTGTCTTTCTCACTGATAATTGATGGGATCATGTCGTCGCTCATTAAATCCACAATGGCAGGAATAGATCGTCAACGTCCATTTTTTACAAACTGATATTCATTTCCCAGTTATACAGTTTTTATCCACAAACAATTTCAAGATTCTTTTAGCTATCTAAGGTAAACTTCAAGGCAACATCACCCCTTACATCAGAGCAATAGATGGAAATACAACCCATTATTATTATTTGTAAATATCTTTGAACTATATAGACGGAATCTGTATTTTATGTGCGTGTATTTCAGATATGGTCAATCCATCAGTTGTATGGGATGCTGAACGTGGTATAGATGAAATGTTCACCAAACCACCAGATGAAGTCGCTGGTGCCCTGGTCGACCCAACGCTCGGGCTTGATGAAACAACGATCAGACAACTCGTCCAATATCCTCAGCAAGGTACACGAGGTGGTTATCGACCGCCCGTCCCTGTCAGGAAAGGTCTGGATACTCAGCATGTTAAATATTGTCAACAAATGGCGTCTAAACTTAATCTGGTGTCCTTTGATGACTTGATGCCAGCTCATGTTGACAAATTTCAGCTACTTAGAGATAAACTTGAAACGGAGGCGAAACTTGGTGCAGTTGGTGTTCAGGTTAGTTGCATGAAATGGGATGAAATTGTGGTTAACGTCTTGCTTCTAATGAATGTCATTGAGTCATCTAGCATGGTTTCGAATCCTCGGTTGTACGTGACAAGGAGTTGGGTCGCCTGTCAAACCTCGTAGGTTTTCTCCGGGTCCTCTGGTTTCCTCCCACGGCTAATGACCCCTACACGCAAGCGAAATATTGAAATTAAAAACAAATTAAACCATATGTTAGCCCCGAAATGACCTAGTTTGTGTCGAGTGGAAGTTAAAACCCATTTCTCTCTCTCTCTCCCGCTTCTAATGAAGACGGGCATACACCAGTATATATCGGTGGAAGCGGACGTAAAACACAACTAACTGCTAACTAACACCAGTGTAGTGTGAATTTTGGATACAATAGCGCCACATTTAGCCGCGATAGTGACGACTAAGCTGATTGATTGACGTCGTGTTTATACGTCACAGCGATTCACGTCGTTGATAGGTTAATTCCACGTTAACGTATCCTTTTCCTTTATTTCAGCTGTTAGACATGATCCAGAAATGTTGGCTACACGACAGTCCACCATCAACAGGTCAGCTTGTAAAACAGTTGAGAGATCCCGTTACAGAAACAGAATTATAGGATACTTAGTGACTGATGTGATGAGTTCTAGAACCAGTTTAATTACCATGGTTACCATGGATGTATTCAGTGAAGACAGTTAATGAGTTCTAGAACCAGTTTATTTACCATGGTTACCATGGATGTGTTCAGTGAAGACAGTTGTAACGATCTCATTCCTGTATCACGTGCTTAATTCGCCCCAGTTCGTTAATATGTACCATGCGTACCAGGTTAAAATATGCCTTACACCTTACGCCCGTTTTCCATGTACTCGTTTTGGCCGGTGAAAGAGACGGTTTAATGCAATTGTATTGGGACCGTTTCCATGTAAGCGGTTTTTCCTGAAAGGCTGACATAACCAACGTCCACTGTCCCTGATTGGTACGATGTCAAACCTTTGCAGGAAGTTGGTGATAGCGCTCCACGCATTATTAATCACAGCGCTATGTTGGCCGATGTTGTATTTAATGACAACAGGATCGGGTCTACTCTTGTTTATTTTATCATGATACACATCCGTCCTTGATCTTTTTCATAATATAATGTTTAATCCGTCCTTGATCTTATTTATAATGTTACACCCGTCCTTGATCTTTTTAATAATGTTTAATCCGTCCTTGATCTTTTTTATAATGTTACATCCGTCCTTGATCGTATTAATAATGTTACATCCGTCCTTGATCTTTTTTATAATGTTACATCCGTCCTTGATCGTATTAATAATGTTACATCCGTCCTTTATCTTCTTTTTATACTGTTACATCCGTACTTGATCCTTTTTATAATGTTACATCCGTCCTTGATCTTATTTACAATGTTACATCCGGCTTGGCCTTATTTATTATGTTACATCCGTCCATGGTCTTATATATTATGTTACACTCGTCCTTGGTCTTATTTATGATGTTACATCCGTCCTTGATCTTATTTATAATATTGAATACGTCCTTGATCTTATTTTTAATGTTACATCCGGCCTTGACCACATTTATAATGTTACATCAGTCTTTTGGTCTTTTTTATAAAGTTACATCCGTCCTTGATGATCTTTTTCATAAAGTTACATCCGTCCTTGTTGATCTTTTTTATAATGTTACATCCTGTCCATGATCTTTTTTATTATGTTACATCGGTCCTTAATCTTATTTATAATGTTACATAAGTCTTTGATCGTATTTATAATGTTACATCCGACCTTGATCTTATTTTGAATATTTTATCTGTATATGTTCACATTGAATGAATGGGCCAAAGTAACACACAAGTATCAGTTGCTTCAAAATGAGTAGCATAACCTGCCTCACACGCGACACCCTCTAGCCATATACTTTGTAGGAGAACAGCGCTACAAGTAGGTTTGTAAATAGGGAAGACTTTTCTAGGAGAGCAGTAGCTTATACGTGGTCTAGTTAGTGCTTTAAGTATATCAATTAATATGTTAGCTTAGAAAACAATAAAAATCAAACACCATTTTTTGAAAAAATAAAATAAATATTAAGTAATCGTACTTGCATGTTTTCTTTTTTTGGGTCTTTAACGTGCACTGTCAATTTGTTAATTTATGTTTATTTTTTATTCCTGTCTAACCCATATTTTGCTTTTTGAATTAGGCTTTAACGTTTTACTCATTTGCACCGACCGGGTTGATGAAGATGCATATACGTTATGCGGCGTGCTATAAGGGAAATGAAATGAAATGGGGTTTAACGTCCTACTGTTTTGCTCCGAACTGGGCTAATGAAGACGGGCATACGCAATACAGTGTGTTATGAAGGAAATTTTGCCCGGACAGCGGTACTACAGCCTACTCTTATATCGAATTCCAATTGTCAAGCGATCTTTTACGTGCACGTCAATGTGTACATGGGACCTCGGTTTTTCGTCTCATCCGAATGACTAGACAGCGGCCCTTGTCAGTACCTCCATCCCGCATCACTGACAAGGGGAACCACGCCGGAAAGTGCTATAAGTGAACTTACGTCCTGATATTGTTAGTATAGCCTACACATATATATATTTTGATTTTTGTCAAGGGATCTTTAACGTCCAGTGGGGGGGGGGGTCACGGTGCCTAAGTGGGTAAAACCGAGGTTCCGTACACATTGGCGTGCACTTAAAAGATCCCTTAACAGTTGGAATTCGATATAAGAGTAGGTCGTAGTGCCTCTGGCTGGGCAAAATGTTCCTCGCGTGCACGTAAAAGATCCCTTGACAATTGGAATTCGATATAAGATTAGGCCGTAGTGCCGCTGTCAGGGCAAAATTTCCTTTATAACACACTGTATGGCGTATACCCGTCTTCATTAGCCCAGTTCGGAGCAGAACAGTAGGACGTTAAACCCCATTTTATTTCATTTTTAACGTTCTGCGTGTGGCAAACACGGGACCTCTGTGTCTAGTCACTTTGATATGGCGAAACCAGGCACGAAAATCCCGAGGAACTTTCTCAGTCAACTACGTGATCGAACACCTGTTCATTCATTTTTATGTCCAGAGAGAGAGAGAGAGAGAGAGAGAGAAACTTAACATCCACTCGACACAAACTAGGTAATTTCAGGACTAACACCCTTAATTAATGTAATTTACTTGTCTACTCTCTAGACGCCATAATTTCTTTTGAGAAAATCTTTTAAACGTAGGGATAATCATTCTTATATGAGACGTCAATTTTTATAGAATATAAAACACTATCGACTTTTTCGTCCAGGAGTTATGTACCTTTAATTAGTATAACTTTGCTTGTCGGCTCTCTGGGTGCCACGATTTCCTTTTCAGGTAATCCTGCTTTCTGTGGCTATCTCTTTTTTTCATTTTATTAAAAAGAATTGAGATGGGTCATGACGACCTATTTTTTCTACACCGACTGGGCTAATGAAGACTTGAAACGAAATGAAATTAGTTTTAAAGTCCTGTTGCTTTGTTCTGACCAAGCTAATAAAGACGCCATACAGTTTAGTAAGAGGGAAATACTACCGGGACATCAGTGCTATGGCCTACCCTTATATCGAAATCCAACCGTAAAGGATTCTTTTCCGTTTTCGCCAATCCCATCCGAACAACAATACGTTTTCCCTCACAAATCCCTCTGTCCCGTGCCACTGACAAAGCAGGGTCATGTCCTACTTATTGAGCCACCGTGGCTCCCGCTAATAAAGACGGGCACACATCCCCAAGACCGCTTAATACCAGGAGCGCACTAGAGACTTCCCGGCTAACGGGCCAAGGTCTCACTCACTGAGCCACCATGTCTCCCGGGGCATTTAAAAGACTGTAAATTTACATTGTTTATATTTGATAAGAATTGTAGTCTGATAATAAACAAACTGGTTAAAAGCATCGACTATGACGTATATGTTATTTGACTAAATTGGTTAGAAAGCTCTGACGTGTCAAAATCGCCCCTACGTCATCCCTTTTCTGATATTGACGTCAGAATACTGCTGACATTAAAGCTGTAAAACATAATTATTTATATACCTATTGCTTAATAGGAATTATCCTAGAACTTGAAAAACATTCTTTTTGGATTCTTCCTCTTCACCAGTTTTCTACATTTCTTTTTTAATATTTTCTCCGATTTTACGAAATCCTGAACAGATTTTATCCACCTGTGCATCTACTTTGTCACATTCAGTTTTTGTAAATGTTTTGACTTGATCCCACCCACCCCCAGCTCCCAACCCCAGCTCCCAACCCCCGCCCCCGCGCCACTTGGCTCATACGCCTGTGATCTTACATAATGCAACTTTAAGAGGGTGTTCTATTTGTTAAGTATAATGAGAATGTATCTTTATTAGATAGACTGATGTCTGTAAGTTATTCCTCAAGTGTTTGGAAACAGGTTTAATATGTTTGAGATTAAGATGAGTAAGTTCATTAGACTGTTTGGATTATGTGAAGTATTTCATATAATAGTAATGTAGTAATAACTGTAAATATGTGTAAGTTACATTCACACACCCCTCCTCCCCCACCCATATACGACTATATAGTGTGGTGTGTGAAATAATTTTATTTAACGTCCGCTTCCACCCAGGTGATATCGCAGACAAACATAGTGTGGGTGTATGAATTGTTTTTTGTAAGGTTATCTTCCCTAAATAAAGCTACTTCAACCAAATGTGTGTAAAGAGCAGTTCGCCCGTCTCCGTGTGTAAAACACGAGGGCTCGGTGTCAAATTCCACTAATATGGCGAAACCCAACTAGAAAATCCCGAGGAATTTTCCCAGTCACCACCGTGATCAAACACCTTCTTTTCATTATATAATTTCGGGAGTAACACGTGGTTCGGTTATATTTCAATAATTCCAACGAGATCTTTAGCCGTGGGATGGGGCGGAGAAAACCCATGAGGTGAGACAGTAGATTCTAATTCGTGTCATGTTACAACAATATACGACAACATTATCAAAATAAATTCTTAGTAGAGTTATCTTCCCTATAGAACGGAGTGGGTGTATAATACATTACCCTGTCTGTCGGCCCATCCGCACTGGCCTATTCACTCTCTAGAGGCCGTAATTATTGACAAGGTTTAATCAACTGTTGGGATAATGATTCTTATTTCTAGACGACAGTTGAGATTGCATCTGAGAAAATATCGCGTTTTTATACTTCCGTAATTATGGCCCTTTAATTAGAGTATTCTGTCTGTTTGCTCTGTAGAGTCCACCATATTTCAGGAATAATTTCAAACGTTGGGATAATGACTCTGTTGACAAGGCGACAATTGGAATTGAATATCAGTATAGTCACCATTTTCGTAAAAGATTTAAGTCCCTTTAATTGGCCTAATATTTGTTTTGCGTTCTCTGGGGGTCATACTTTTGGTTTCGGATAAGCTTGCTGTCTATGGCTGTCTTATGTTTTAGTCATTGTTCGTTCGCTGCTTAAGACTTGACGTCCTTTTCCATCTTGACTATCATTTTGATAATCTGTCGTCAGGGGAAACGCGTAAATTATCTCAACCAATCAAAGCAATGAAAACAACGAACAGCCAGTGTAAAGAAATGAAATGGGGTTTAACGCCTTACTTTTCTACTCTGACTGGGCTAATCAAGACGGTATATACCATACACTGTGCTATGAGGGACATTTTGCCCGGACAGCGGCGCTATGGCCTAGTCTTATTTCCAATTCGAACTGCCAGGGATTCTTTTAGTTGTGTACACGGGACTGCAGTCTTCCGTCCCATCCGAACGACTAGACTATACGTTGTCCCTTGCCAGGCCCTCCGTCCAACATAAAAAGTCTATATTTTATTATGGCGTCATTTGTTATTACATATAAATTGAAGCGGTAATACATATTTATTTATACACCTATTGCGATTAAAACAGGTTGTCAAATCACTATACAATCATAGGAATTATTATTCTAGCATTTGAAATATTTCCTACTCGCCAACGGTACCTGGAATCTAATTATTCACGTCTTTCAATGTCGGTAACTTCATTAATTATTACTTGAATTGTAAAGTTTCCATCATCATCAATAAATCCACTGACAGTGTTACCGAGTTTTTCCCAGTCAATAAAATTAGTATAATAGACGTCCACCTCATCAGGTTTAATAGTTTTATTACAATGTTTAACCACATGATGTCTATCATCTGTTTTATTTATAACTTTAAATGTGACGTCAACTTTACATGACGTAATACTTTCATCCTCTACGTCATCCAGCTGTAATGTAACATATAATGAATTGTTTTTAAATACACTGATACTCCATGTAAAACCTGAAAGTACATGTTGTTTACAATGATAAATACGACGCCATTTACCATTCACATTAAAAATATCTTCAAACATGTTCTGATGACAACTTACAATTTTACCAAGTTGACGAGTTAACAAAGTTTTATCTATCTTTGCTATTTGAAATCTTGAATATCTTACATCTGGTATATCCAATTTTCTGCAACTACTTCCATCTTTCTCCTGTCGCACTTTGGGTATTCTTTGTAAAACTTCAACAATGGACGAATCTTCTAAAACATTTACTGAATATTTAACACTACCTTTTAAATCTTCTGTTAGTATTTTAATGTCCTCCATCAATTTCTCGAATTTGGATTCTGCATCTTCACCAGTTTTCTGCATTTCCTGTTTAATATTTTCTCCGATTTTACGAAATTCTGAGCAGATTTTATTAACCCGTGCATCAACTTTGTCGCATTCAGTTTTTGTAAAGTTTTTGACTTCAATTAATTTACTTTTTAAATTATCATAGTGCTTTTGCAGTTTGGTGACTTGTGTTTCTAAATCATCATTCAATGTTCGTAAATCTTGTCTCATATTTTGTCTAACTTCATCGTCTTGTAAATCTAAATAATTGTGTCCGTTATGATTGGCTACGAAACATTTCCAACAGATGGCTAGTGAACAATCTTTACAATAGATTGTAACTTTCTTTTTTTCGTGGTGAGAGCAGAAATCTTTATGATGTGTGACGGGTGTATTTTCTTTCTTTGTTCCGCTTGATCTGGGCTGTTGACCGATATGGTTTTCGTCATATCGACAAACAACGTGGTCTTTACAAGATTTTAACTTATCATGCATGGCTCTACACGACTTACATAAATATTGGTCGCAGTCTTGACAAAAATATTGAGATGTATCTTCAGAACACACATGACATTGTGGAATATTAATTACAGAATTGTCATCAATGTTTAGCGTGGGTCTATATTGTTGTACACCCCCGTTTATAAGACAACGACACAATGGACATTGGAACTGATCTTTAGTAGAGGTTTTAGTCAGATATTCTTCTAAACAGCTGAAACAGAAGGAATGTTGACAGTCAATTATTACAGGTTCTTGAAAGTCGTTTAAACAAATACTACACACCTCCTTGTCTGTCTGTTCAGCCATGTTCAATTACAGTTGTTTCAATATACGCTATCGAGACACTACACTTTACCGTCTCCGGAATGGAAAGTCAAAATCATCTAGACAATCACACGACAACAGAACTAAAATAAAAAATAAATTAGTCGACCTATATTGAATACACTATCGAAATAGGTGACTAAAAATTTAAAACACCACAGTTCACTGTTTTAAGACTAAAATGTGTACATACGCAGACGGGCAACAGTTTCTTAGAACGAGACATAACTTCAAAATTATTCAGATAGTCCAATATAATATACGCTATCCATTTAGGTGACCTAAAAAGAAACGATTAAAACCTGAAAGATCGAACAAAACAATCAAAACACTATCAACAACAGTCACTAAGGAAAACACCCAAACAATCCATTCTCTTTATACAACATTCTCGTCACGCTTCACCGTGAGCGCTTTATCTTGCCTGGGCCATCGATCACCTGATTTCAAAATATAACGTTCAATACGTAATTGTTTAGTAGATATTAGCCGTGCAAACAACCAGCGCCTACATTAAAAATTACACGTGGCGTCAGGTATTATCGTATTGTAATATCGTATTGTGTAATATCTTTCTACCACGAAATCAGATCTATATTTAGAATATTATCAACGGGTCGCACGTGTCTTAAATTTACTCATTAAATACATGTTATATAAACTGATGGGGGCCACGGTGGCTCAGTGAGTAAGACGTTGGCTCGCTTACCTGAAGGTCCCGTGATCGATCAGTGCGCTGGCGGCGAAAGGTCATCTGTATTATCTGGCGTGTCAGTGGTGCAGGACGGAGGGCCTGACAAGGACAGCTGTCTAGTTGAAATTCGATATAAGAGTAGGCCATAGTGCCGTTGCACGGACAAAATATCCCTCATAGCACACTATATAACGTATACCCGTTTTCATAGCCTAATCGGGGCAGAACTGTGGGATGTTAAACGGTGACGTCATATCTTATCTGGAGAGCATGCGCAATAGACTGGAATAATCAGACGCTAGAAATTTCCATTTGGTTGAGACTCATGCTGAATTTCGCTTGACATAATTGATTTGAAATTAGAGTCAAAGCGGAAACAATTGAATGTAAATCAGTTTATATACAATCAGATTACATTATTATATGCGTAGCGACCCATTTGGGTCAATTTCTAGGTCCCAAATATTAGCGATTTAGCTTCTTTAAGCTGGGGTCAACCCAGTGATACTGTTTCAATATTTTGCTGATTAATATGGGGGGGGGGGGCTGTCAGTATAGCAAGTCAAATAGAGGTCCGGTGGCTTGTCACAATGACAGTTATACTGTTTCAATATTTTGCTGATAAATATGGGGGAGGGGGTGGGGGCTGTCAGTATAGCAAGTCAAATGGGATTCCGGTGGTTTGTCACAATGACATTTATTAAACCAAGGCACATGACCCTGGACATTGGCTTTAAAGACAACATCTGTGTGAGCCATTATCTCACCAACACTATCCTTTAAAGATACCTTGATTTGGTGATATATTTGGACTAAAAACATATTTAAACTAATTAATCCATCAAAATTTTGATTCAAATCCTTCTCAGGACATTGTTTTCGAGAGGGAATACCCCTGCTATCAAAAATCTAGGAAAAGAAGTCATGTTTGTTTCACGTGACTAGGCTGACGGGATACCTAGCAACGGCCAGCTAGAAGATATATTAATTTTGTTTTAACTTTACCCCTCTGCACGAAAATTCAAATTGACCGTCGGTGAGCGGGAGCGGAAGGGGTGGGGGAGACAGCGGTTCCCCCAGCACCCTACCCCTGGCATGTAAATTATCTCAACCAATCAAGACAATGGACAATAAGTATAATGAGCTACACAACCACTGCACATGCGTTGACACTGACATTACTGAGCATATTATTGAAATGAACTGAAATGGATATTGGCGTCCTACTGTTTTGCGCCTACCTTGCTATTGAAGGTATGAAATGAAATGGGTTTAACTGTTCTACACCGATTGGGCTTAAAAACATGATACGGGGTTTAACGTCCTACCGTTCTACACCGATTGGGCTAATGAAAAGATGAAATTGGGTTTAACGTTCTACTGTTCTGCACCGATTGGGCTAATGGAGACATGAAATGGGTTTTAACGTCCTACTGTTCTACACCGATTGGGTTAATGGAGACGGGCATACGCCATGCAATGTGCTAAGAGGGGCATTTTGCGAGGACAGCGGACCTGTAGCCTACTCATACATTGAATTCAAAGAGAAATGGGGTTTAATGTCCACTCGACATAAACAAAGTCATTTCGGGACTAACATATGGTTCAATTTTATTTCAATAATTCGCTTGCGCGTAGCGGTCTTTAGTAGTTGGAGGACCCGGAGAAAACCAACGAGGTTGGACAGGCGATCCTACATCCCAAACTTAGGCTGCCTATCTACAGCTAGCTCCGGCTGAGAATAGGCCCTAAGCTAATTAACCGACATTTAAATTCCTACATCGACGATTTTAGTCGAAAACACTGAGTATGCTTTTAGAAATTTTTAAAAGTATTTATTTCTCTTCTATTGTCATAATTTCACAGAGGCGGTTTTATTTGCGAAAACAAATTTAGGAGTACCTAACCTTGTTTTGAAAAGATAAACAGATTGAAACTCTTGATTAACCAACCAGATTAACCCTTGGCAATTTGAATTCGAAATAAGACTAGGCCATAGTCCTGATGTCCGGGCAAAATGTCCCTCAGAATACAGTGTATGGTGTATGCCCGTCTTCATTAGCCCAGTCGGAATAGAACAGTAGGATATTAAACCCCATTTCTTTACACGGACTGTTCATTGTTTTGATTGGTTGAGATAATTTACGTGTTTCCTCTGAAAAAAGATGGCCAAGGTGAAAGCGCACGTCAAGTCGTAAGCAACGAAAGTAAACGTGTGGCACCCAGAGAGTGCACAACAAATATTACGCCAATTAAAGGGAAGTAAATCTTTAACAAAAAAGACGATTGTGCTCATATTCATTTCCAAACAATTAAAGTGCTATTTAAAGTGCCATAACTCCTAAACAAACAAGAGCATCGCTAACGGTGCAAAATAAGTAGGGGATATTTGATTTTTAAGTGTTATTAAAGTCACCTAATGAAACTGACGAAGAAACAAATGACAAAATGAAATGAAGTTCACATTCATCGATTTATTCCAAATGATCGTTAGACTAAGTAAGGCACAGACTGACCATTATAAGGGTAAAATGATACCCGGGGTCAAACAGCAAAGTTACCACAGCATCACAACCAAGTCAGTAACGGGTAAATCCTCCTCTGTTTGCCAAACAAGCATTGATCCGACGTGGCATACTCCTAATGAGACGTCTAAGGTCATTTTGGTCCAGATTGTCCCATTCCTGTTGCAACGCAGCAGCAAGTTCTTGGACATTGGCAGGACGTTGTTGACGTTGACGTAACCTCTGTCCAAGCATGTCCCAGACATGCTCGATGGGGGAGAGGTCGGGACTCAGTGCTGGCCAAGGTAATGTGGTGATGTTCTGTTGTTGGAGGTAACCTGTAACGATCCTGGCCCTGTGACATCTTGCGTTGTCATCCTGGAAGATGAAACGGCGGCCATGACGTCGTGCGAACGGCACAACATGGACTGCCAAGATGTTGTCCCGGTAGTACTGGCCTGTAACACGCCCTGCAACAACATGTAAAGCCGTTCTTCCACACCATAACAGAACCACCCCCAAATCGATCCTGTCTGATGACGTTAACGTCTTGGAAGCGCTCGTTTCGACGACGCCACACCCTCCTACGTCTGTCCAAAAAATCAACAGTGAACCTTGACTCATCTGAAAACATCACATTGCTCCAGCGTCGATTATCCCAGTGTTGACGATCCCTACACCAACGACGTCTTGCCTGAATGTGATGATCTCTCAAACAAGGGATCACGCGAGGACGTCGTGCGCGAAGGTGACCCCTACGCAGTCGATTCCGAATCGTCTGGCCACTCACTCTCACACCAGTGTCTGTTTGAAGACGAGCGCTGATCTGATTTGCTGTGATGACACGATTTCTCAAGGCCAAGGTACGGATAAATCGATCCTGGGCTTGAGTTGTCGCCCTTGGTCGACCTGAGCGTGGTCTGTCCTGTACAGATTGTGTATCACGGTATCTGGACCATAGCCTGCTTATGACAGACTGAGAAACAGTCATCGTCCGCGCCACAACCGCCTGTGTTGTGCCGATCTGTAGCATGCCAAGGGCACGTAACCTTTCATTTTGGGTAAGCCGACGCATATCAAAATTTGTTTTCTGGTCACTTAAACAATTAAACTGATGTTTCCACCCTGGAATTCAATGCCACAATGACTGTAACATTCAAAGTCAGAGTCGTGCAAATCTTGGGTTGGACCCCCATGATGATCCCAAGCATCACCTGCATTCCATGCGGTAGCTATTGGTGCGTTTGGGCGTCACATGTAACTGGAAATGTTTCTTCTGTTAGGTTCTATAGTGACTTTTTTCGTAGTCATTTGCATATTTTAGTATTATGCCCCCAAAATCAAATATCCCCTACTTTTTTTTGAATAGTATATATATATATATAGGTACAACCCTATGATGGATCATTCCGAATTGGAACCAAATCTGTTAATAATTGCAACCTGTATATCATTTAGACAAAATATGAACAAAAAGTGGGTGTGGCACCGCCGAAAGAGCAGGGGGTGGAGTAGGCGGTCGTGCAGCCAGTGGCGGCGCCAGCCGTCGGTTATTGCTGGGGCAAAGTCCAAGGTTAGGGGGGCAAAGACACGAGCTTAAACTAGGGGTAAGGAGATGCAGCCTGGCAGTATTTTAGGCACTGATCGTTGAGGTAAACTGTCAAACTAACGAAAATTTTGAAAAATAGACTGCCGGAAATGCTGTCTGACAGTATTCAGTCAGGTACCGATCGTCGAGATAAATAGATCCGACCAGATACTGTCCGTCGCCTGATCACTAGTTTATCCGACCAGAGAACAAAATGCCAAACGAGCGCAAAAGTAGCGAGTCCATTAGGGACCTCGCCAAGAAAATTTTGAAAAATAGACTGTCGGAAATGCTCTACAACATGCAAGTTTATGACTGAGTGGGGATGTGGGATTCATTCACCGTAGAAAGGATTGATTACCGAAACGTATCACAAATACTTTTTTTATTTTCTAAAACTATTGGGGGGGGGGGGAAGTCAGACCAGATTTATGCCCCCCCCCCCCTTGGCGCCGCCACTGCGTGCAGCAACATCAATAGTTGCTGTCCTTAGCATATAAGGAATAAGTATATCAAGTTCCAAGTTCATCCATTCAGAATTGCGGCCTGTAAACGATAAACACAAAAATTGGGCGTGACTCTGCCCCTGGGGGTCGGGACAT